CTAAGAAAACCAACACTAACATAAGGGTATCTTCCCAATGAATGCAAGCAATGTATTTTGTGCTGATTAAAAAAAAAACAACTATATTATATTTACGGAACTATGCTATCCTCCAGTGATAGTAAATACTCCAGTGCAATAGAAATATGGCATCCTTGGATTACCCGGTATGCAACCTAAAAACCTTCAAAACGCACAATGCGTCATTTACAGATATTAATACTCTGCCTCTAAATCACTATACCTTTCACCAGTTGTAAAACTGAATTGCCATACTCTGACACTTCCATGTTTTCGTAACATTTTTTTTTTGTATAGTATACTGATTGATGTTGACCTTTGTATTTCTGGTTTTGAGCTGTAACCAGGGGCGGACTGACAACTCATGGGGCCCCCGGGCAATAGGGGATCATGGGGCCCCTGTGTCCTTGCCCAAACTCAAATAAGCCCATGAAAAAGGTACCAGGGGCATCTCATGGGGCCCCCTACTGACCCCGGGCCCTCAGGCAGTGCCCGAGTTTCCAAATGGTCAGTCCACCCCTGGCTGCAACTAAGATGCTTCAACTTAAACAACTTAGATAAGTGGATCAAGATGACTAACCTACTATTGTTGGAATTGTTGCCTTGATCTGAAATTCTCCTTATATTGTTATTCTTCTTGTATTGTTAACCAAAACTCTCAATAAATAAATATTGAAATTTTAAAAAAAACACTAAAGTTAGGCTTGCAGCATTTTCCTTTCCATAAACATTTTTTATGGACCTTTATTGAAACATTTGACTACTTCAAAATAGTTAATTCCCTAGCACAAACCCCCTCCCCCCTCTTGCACATCATAGCCCTCTCCTTTTCTGGTACCAGGGCTTTTTTTCAGCACCAACATGGGGGGATGCAGTTCTGGCACCTCTAGCACTGAATGTATGTAATGGCAACGGGTGCCAGGGTGTTCTGGGGGGTCTATTGATGCTGGCTGCTAGGGGATCTATTGTTGCTGGAGGGGATCTATTTTTGCATGGTGGTCTATTGTTACTAGGAAGGTCTATCATTGTTGTGGGGCTGTTATGTTGTTGGGGGATCAATTATTGCTGAAAGGGATCTCCTGTTGAGAGAGGAGTCTAGTGTTGCTGGCTGCTGTGAGATCTATTGTTGCTGGAGGGAATCAAATTTCTGTGGCAGGCTATTGTTGCTGGGGAGGTTTATTTCTGCTGGTGAGGGTCTCTTGTTTTTGGGGGCTTATATTGTTGGGGGGTCAATTGTTGCTGAAAGGGATCTACTGTTAAGGGAGGGGTATATTGTTGCTGGAGAGTCTATTGATACTGGCTGCTGGTAAATCTGTGGTCTCTGCCAGGAGTCTATTGTTGCTGGAGTCCATTGTTGTTGGGGGGGTCTATTGTTGCCGGGGAGGGCCTTTTGTTGCTGGCTGATCTAATTTACTGCTTTTCTTGTTATCATTAACAAATTCCATACAAATTACTTAGCACCACAAAATGATATGTGGCTCTAAATTCTCTAAAAGGGGTGGTACTTGGAGGTGGGTAGGGGGTGGAGACAAGAAGTGATTCAGAAGGGCGAGTTTCTGCACCTATTTTCTGAGAAAAAAAGGTCCTGCTAATCACTATCCTGACTTAACATCTGCTTGGGCTGCTAAACTTACAGAAAATTGTTGTTGAACTGAAAGTTCTGACTACAGGTTGCTTGCTTTTTCTTGTCAGTGGGTGAGGTGTTGGCTAATGTGATCCAGAGTTGGGACAGGCAGAAAGGAAAAGCATTGGTGCTCAAGCCAAGGTTAGAAGTTGCTGATCCGTCTACAGAAAGTCCACATAAAAGAAGTCAATATGTGTGTTACAATATGGAAATTGCGTAGTCTTATGTAAAATGTGTGCCTATGGCAAATGCTCAATGGCTGGACAAATGTTACTAGCAAAAACAAAGAAGGCTCGATTTTTGCTCTATTGTGTTACATTACCCAGCCAATTCAAATAAATGGGATGCCTTAATGCGAAACACATTAATACATGACATTAAATGCACCTCAATGGACTACCCTGATATTAATGGGTCCTTAAAGGTTACAAAACTAAATACACACCGTACAGTTATAATTTTATGACCACAGATAGGTTAAGTGAAGAACATGGATTATCTCATTATAGTGGTGTCTGGAAGTTGGTGAGATATATTAGACAGCAAGCAAACATGCTGTCCCTGAAGTTAATGTGTTGAATGCAGAAAAATGGGCATTAATGTTTGTTGGTTATAGGGCTGTGTGGCCACAGACTGGTCAGAGTGCCCATTCTGACCCATGTCCATAGCAAAAAGCACCTACAATGGACACACAAGCATCAGAAATGGACCACTATGTAAAGGAAGAAGGTGGCATGGTCTAATGAATCAATGAATTAATTTTTTTTAGATCATGTGGATGGCATGGTGTGTGAGTGTCACTTACCTGGGGTAGGGATGTCACCAGGATTCAGTATGGAAAGAAGGCAAGCAGCGTGATGCTTTGCGCAATGTTCTGCTAGAAACCTTGGGTCCTGCAATTGATGTGGATGTTACTTGACACATACCATCTACCTAAACATTGTTGCTAACCGAGTACACCCCTTTATGAAAACAGTATTTCCTGATGGTAATGGCCTCTTTCAGAAGGATAATGCACCCTTCCACATTGTAAAAAATGGTTTAAATTTTTTTAAGAAGCACAACAGCACATTTAAGGTAGGAAAAAAAACCTCCTGCGCTTAAATGGAATCCTACTCACAAAAAAGCTGCTGACACTAACCTTATACCCAATAAGTGAATAGTCAATAAAATAAAACAGTGTAGCGCTAATATTACTAAAAAGTATTATGTAAATCGGTGATTACAAAACACAAAATAAATTAAATAAACATCCCCTAAATATAAACATCGGGGAAAAAACAACACACACATATATAGATAATAGTGCCATGCGTGAATCCCTCATAAGGGAATATCCAGTGCATAGGGTGACAAATACAACCCTAAATCAATACTGTGAAAAAACACAATAGTGCACAATATTAGTGAACAAATAATCAATTCCAAAGTCTGAAAAAATAATTGCGATGCTTAAGGTGGTCCTCCCACTTCACTCTTCATGCAAAGTATCGTGCAGTGTACGTGATTCACACATGTCAATCCTTCAACATCCAAAATGCCCCCTCACCTCCTACTTAGACCCCACAGGGGTATTTTTTCAGACTTTGGAATTGATTATTTGTTCACTAATATTGTGCACTATTGTGTTTTTTTTCACAGTATTGATTTAGGGTTGTATTTGTCACCCTATGCACTGGATATTCCCTTATGAGGGATTCACGCATGGCACTATTATCTATATATGTGTGTGTTGTTTTTTCCCCAATGTTTATATTTAGGGGATGTTTATTTAATTTATTTTGTGTTTTGCAATCACCGATTTACATAATACTTTTTAGTAATATTAGCGCTACACTGTTTTATTTTATTAGCACATTTAAGGTGTTAACTTAGCCTCCTAATTCTCCAGATCCCCATCCAATCGAGAATCTGTGGGATGTGCTGAAAAAACAAGTCCAATCTATGGAGGCCCCATCTTGCAACTTACAGGACTTCAAATATCTGCTAATGGTTTGGTGCCAGATACCACAGAATACCTTCAGAAGTATAACGATATCCATTCTTTGACAGGTTAGGGCTAATTTGGTGGCAAAAAGGGATCTACGCAATATTAGGTGGGTGGGCATAAAGTTATGGTAGTGAATATATAGATAATGCAGTAGGAGGATTGAAAGTTTATTGGTTGATTTTATTATTGGTAAAGATTGTTGGATCTTGTGAGTAAAGTCTCTTAGAGATGAATAATAGTCTTTAGAGATGAAGTAATCCATTAGATTCCACTAGAATATTATCCCTAACAAGCACAATTCTGGATCTTTGGATGATTATCTCTATATTTTCACAGAATTGAAGCTAGAAACAGCTAGGCAACTATAATTTTCTTAGTAATAGTATCTCGCGTTTTTCTCTAAAGACCAGAATACTTTAAGGTAATGACAGTTAATATTGATGATGACCACCGCTAGAGTGGCTATGAGATTCTACTTGAAAGCTAGTAATGTTACAGTACTCAGCCCTTTTATTGTAATATTACCATCACATTTTCTTTTGGAAGATGAAAACTAGAGTGGAATTTTCAGAGGAAGGTTTCATTAAGGAAAGTGGCAGAACATTTTCAGTCCTCTAACAACTTTGGTAAACATTCATATGTCTTGCTGTCATAATTAAGTGCCCCATTCAATTGTACATGTGCCCAGTATGTAAACTAGTGTGAAGATATGAACACAAACATTATTGCCCTACTGCGAATCTCTTGGCACGTTCCACAGTACACAACTTCTGGAGGAGCAGCTTGTCTTGATTGTTTGCCATTGAAATGCTTGCTGGCAAGCAGCACTAGACTAGATCTAGAGACCAAAATATTATCCAACAAAAAATTAATGTTCATGCTAAACTAATTATCTCAGCACAAGTCAGCAAAACCAACACACATTATCATTTTTTCATATATTAGAGCATCTAGTGCAATATTGTTTGTGATGTATTATAATTATTATAATGCTTAAATGGTCATAATAAGCTGCTTTCTAAATGTATAACAAGAATTAAATGTGCTTCCTAAAAGCATAAAGCATCCTATAAAAGAAGTAAACTAGCATAGTGCTGCCATTTTCTCACTAACAAAGCATAAGGGGTGGCCACTTTGCTCAGGTTTGATGACCACTGCTGTAGCACAACTCACCTTTATCAACCTGCTTTATGTGGTTGCACATCACTTGGTTGGCACCTGGTGCTTATGCTCCAAATTATTAAATCCAAACAGAGTGACTGTACTCAAACAAGAACTACTTGGAAAAGAGCAAACAGGAGGCACAAACCCCTAGTGCATTATCCAAAGTTTATTTAAAAGTAAAAAGGATGAAAACATACTTACAAACAGGGGTGGACTGACCATTTGGAAACTCGGGCACTGCCCGAGGGCCCGGGGTCAGTAGTGGGCCCATGAGATTCCCCTGGTACCTTTTTCATAAGCTTTTTTGAGTTTGGGCAAGGACACAGGGGCCCCATGATCCCCTATTGCCCAGGGGCCCCATGAGTTGTCAGTCCGCCCCTGCTTACAAACATAGCATGTATGTAAAGGTTTCTGAGAAGATAGAGATGGCCATAACAATGGCAGGGTGTCTGACTGTCAGTGTGGGGACAGGTTTTTTTACTTTTAAATAAACTTTGAATAATGCACTAGGGGTTTGCGCCTCCTGTTTGTGATTTTCCAGTTGTTGATTTCCCTATTTGGGCTCCGAAACGCTATCCATAGGCCACCTTGGTCCTGGTTCCCTGGTTTCCTTTGTCATTTTATTCCTGGAGAACTGGAGAGTACACACTGTTGTCTGGTTTGGTAAGAACTACTTAGAGAATGTCCGCACAGAAAAAAGCAGTTGCTGTGGGTCAGGCAGTCTTAGAAGGTCAGATAACGGAATGCTGAGGTCAGGCCAATAGTCAAACCAGTCAGTTATAGGTAGTACTTGGACAATGAGTCTAAACATAGTCTGGATCAAGCCAAGGTAATGTATCAGGACAGAAGTCAGGAATAGGAGACTTAGAATTAAGGGTTGTATAAAAGGGCAGGGTATATCAGTTTGGTCAAGGTATACCAGAGAAGATCAATAAATATAAAGAATATGGAGGCACAACAAATCATTTTACAAATGATATCTGGGCATCGGAGTCTGGTGCCTGTTTTATCACTGATATGTGATAGTTTTGTGGTTTTATTCGAGATGTGGAAAGAGAGATCATACAAGGGGCGGACTGACCATTTGGAAACTCAGGCACTGTCTGAGGGCCCGGGGTCAGTAGGGGGCCCCATGAGATGCCCCTGGTACCTTTTTCATAGGCTTATTTGAGTTTGAGCAAGGGCACAGGGGCCCCATGATCCCCTATTGCCCTGGGGCCCTATGAGTTGTCAGTCTGCCCCAGGTTACAGCTCAAAACCAGAAATACAAAGGTCAACATCAATCAGTAGACTATACAAAAAAAAATGTTACGAAAACATGAGTTGTCAGTCCACCCCTGGATCATACAAACACTTGTAGGTATAATATGTAATTACGTAATGCCAGACACGGATAAAAAAACTGTAAAGAGATTTGAAAATATAACAAAAATACTTAGCTATAGATGCTGTTTCGCCACGGAGTTCCGCCTGCTTTATTGCAGTGTGGCGGGTGATCAAACCAGATGCATGCATAATGCAACTCTGGAGACGGGACTGATTATTCCAAGTTTTGGCTGTGTTATATACAGGACTAGTGCGTAAGGAAATTACCAACCCCCTTGACCTTTTAAGGACTTGTCAGGTTGAAATGACATTGGTACAAAGTCATCTAAGGAGCCCAGGCTTAGAATCCATTCTTAGATATTGTGAGCCAATTTTTATAAGGAAATATGAAATTTCTCCTTCAATGCCTTTTTAAAGACAACTGACCAATCACTGTGAGCCTTGTCACACTGTATTGAATCCACACACATACAATCCCATGAGAGCAGCAAGCAAATGTCCAAGAATCCAACATAATTCAATGATAAAATTGATTCATAAAAGAAAAGAACGATTTTTTTTGGGGGGGGGGGGGGGGACAATTTATTAAAAAAAAATTAAAAAAAGAAAAAAAAAGAGCACTATCTGAGCAGTGGACTTGAGGAGAGGTGGAGAGAAGGGATCATGTTTTAGACGATAAAGATGCTCTTTAATTTCCACCTACACCATGCTATTGCAGAAAAAAAAAACCCAAAACATTTGCTTTGTTTCTATTATTTATTTTAAATCTCTATTCTGAAAGACTTTGTTTATGTCATGTGACCAACAAAACACCAATCAGCACTGTGTAGACACAGATTCATACTTGGGAAATGCCATGTTAACTCTGAACAGCGACGATCAAATAAAATGTCCAGATGATTTTTGATATCAAACTAAATACAATGGCATGATCTTTATACATAAATAGAAGGGATAATGACAATCAAATATTGTATGTTTAGTATCACCTTAACATTTAGGAATTCTTACACTTTACATGAATGTTTCAAAATAAACAGTAAGTCCTATTTGTGATTGAATCGTTTAGCATTTTAAAGGCAAGACAATATCACCATACATCTTAATTTTAAAATGGCAAATCTTATATGAAATTGTTTTGTTTTAGCAAACAATCCTTGAAAACCTTAAATCACCCCAGAGACATAACGAGTCACCTTGTATTATCTGTGTGAATCGCTATTATACTAAAATACCACACATAAAGCATAAAATTAAATATGTGCTTGGAATTCATACTGCAAGCTCTTCACATTATTTTAAAATTTTACTGCCAAGTAAAGCCTATTGTAAAATGTCAATTACTAATCTCACCGACAAAGAATGTGGAAAACATAATGCTTTATTGATCAGTTTAGAAGTGCCCTTTATATTTTAGGTACAAGTGGAAATGCATCCAGTCTTTGTGGATTGCAATTATGCTACATAACCGAGAACATTGTCATTTTTTTAAATTGCCTCCAATAGCACTGTCATTTTTTCAGAATTTGTAAAGTGCTATTTTTAAATGACAGTATATTAGTTTCATTTAAAGTATATTTAAACCCAATCAATACAGTCTGCATAAGCATCAACATGTTAACATATTCTAAAGACTTTCTGTAGATCTGAGGTTTTCATGAAAACAATATCTGGTGATCCTGACATGATGGTCCTTGGCCAGGCGCTTCTTGTTTTTATATCCCAGGTTATTGTTACCCTGTGAACTGACAGGAGAATTTGGTTGGTTGCAGGCTGCTTGGAAATTTGAGCTGGGAATTTTTCTTTGTTGTTGTTTGGCATGCTTTGCTCTTCCCTGTGCTCCTGTAAAAGCCAATTATTGGTTGGGGCAGTTGCCACCTGCTTGTACTGTTGATATATTGATGAGGGGAGGCACTGCACATCTTTGCTACCATTGTTCTATATGCTGGGTGTCCAGTGTGCCCCTGTGTCCTTTAATGAGGGGTGGGCTCCCTTCAGGCTTACCTGCCCTCAATCTATCCATTATTATAGATGTGCTTCTATTCAAAATGTATAGAGTTATGAACTGCAGTTGCCGTCTGCTTGTACTGTTGATATATTGATGAGGGGAGGCACTGCACATCTTTGCTACCATTGTTCTATATGCTGGGTGTCCAGTGTGTCCCCTGTGTCCTTTAATGAGGGGTGGGCTCCCTTCAGGCTTACCTGCCCTCAATCTATCCATTATTATAGATGTGCTTCTATTCAAAATGTATAGAGTTATGAACTGCAGAATATTAGGGTGCCATGAAGATCCTCTGCAGCTTTCACATGTATTTGCAAATGTGTGCAAACTAAACCCCTGTTTTTAATGTGAACTGTTAGACAGGACAATTTGGTTGATTTTCAGGCTGGTTGGTACGTTAAGCTGGGAATTTTTCTTATTCTTATTATTGTTATTGTTTAACATGCATTGCCCTTTCATGTACTCCTTGCTGCAAAGGTCAGTTATAGGTTGGGGCAGTTGCCGTTTGTATGTACTATTGTTACCCTGTCACATCTGATGGAGACGTGGCATGGTCACCATCAAGAATCACCTCAGTAAATCCCATTTAGTTATCACTGGAGTACATATAGACTGAACATGGCAGAGAAGAGGCGACAAGTGATCAGCAATGCAAAGATGCAACAAAAGATAAAAAGGTGAAAAACAGTGTTTTGTTAATTTTCTTTAACCGCTTCCTGACCGCCCTATAGTAGAAATACTGCTCTGGGTAGGTAAATAAAACATAAAGACATTATATATTTTCTGAAAGCAGACACCCTAGAAAATAAAATGCTGGTAATTCCAATTTTTAAGGTTTCACGGTATTTACAGCAGTTTAGGAAATGCTAAATTTCAGTAAAAAAAACACTAAAGTTAATTTTAGGGCACACAAATGCAATAAACTATTCAGTAATAAAGAGGAGGTTGCACCAAGTTAATTAAACTTAAAATTGTGTGCGCCCATGAAATGGCGACAAACTTCAGTATCCTATATTCTTCATAGGCAAATTTTTTAAAGCACCTACAGGTCTTCAGTTAATAGTTACGCAGGAGCCCTGATGCTAGAATTATTGCTCTCACTCTGGCATGTGCAGTGAAATGTAACACGTGTAGCACAATTGACATGTTTGTGCATTGGAGCCCCCAATGCATGCATTTACATTCATACAGATATATGTGGGGGTGGGGAGTACTAAAATATTTTGAGGGAATTTTAAGTTCTTGACTGTAGTTTTAAATTTCTACTATTTTTCTTACCTTTTTTTTTTTATCATTGCATAAGGGACAAAAAGTATCCTATGTTATGAGACCCCTGATGTCTCACCTGTCCTCCAATAAAGCTGATGGAATCTAGCCCCAACCATACAGGCTAGGGAAATTGAAGGGGGACCTGGAAGTGATGTTTTACATGTCGCTTCTGGGTCAGCAAGAAAAAGGGGAGGAGAGCAGATGCATGTTTACTCTACTCCTTCCCCTTTAACTGGCAACACCTGACATGCCGGTTCTGGTTGTTCTGAATCTCAAAGCCCTGGATACATGGGAGGGGAAAAACCATTACCAGGGGTGTTTGGAAGCAATCTGCTGATTGCACAGCCACAGGAATGGTTCCTATTGACAGCCAGAAATCAAAATGTCAGATGTGGATGCAATCACCAGGAAACCTCAAAATATTTGTTATGGGACGTTAAAGGCACCCACTTATAACCAAAGTATATATTAAAAAATATTATTTTATTACAAAATTAGCAAAAATCATATAGATAAAACCAAAAAGTCTTACATAGTATACAAAAACCTCACTCATGATAACATAGTCAAAAGTCCAACCATTCTAATTCCTGCATAGGATATTGTACATAATATGGCCTTGTAACCATTCACAGACATTCCTATGCAGAATGACCTAATGCATTTCATTATTTCTGTTCTGTAGTGTCTATAACAAGTTAGCCACCCATGAATATAAAAACAAAGGTCTATATCTCAACCTAGGCCTATGTCGATTGGCTGCTGGGTGTTCAACTAGTGATGGCAGCAAAAAAATGCTTTAATGTTATCTTTCATATTGACCCACAGCATTTTGCCAAAATTGAACAAATTGCAGGAAAATCAAAACTCTAAGTTTCAGTTATTTATAATAATCACATTCTCTTAACTTATTCCATCCCAATTTTCTCTAACACCCTCTTGGTTTTTCTATAACACACCAGGTGAAATCTTTAAAATTTGCCCTCACTTGTATGATTCAGGTGACAAAGGACAACTACATTTTGAAAAATGACCCTGTGTGGTTATAAGTGAAACCATTAAGGATTTCACAGTGGCAAAGGTGTTGTAATCCCAGCAATCCTTTAATCACATCACCGTCTCAAGCTCCCTAAACTGTGGAATAACAGAATTTGGCATATAATAGCTTTCTGAAAAATTGACATAACTTCTTCAGCATTCACAACGTTATTTATATTTTTCAGGCTCTGCAGTGCAGACAGATACATGGTCTAAAAGACTATTCAAGGTCCCTTTCATTGAATTGCCTTTCTAAGATACTAGATAGTTTACACAACATATGTATTGTATGATAAAATTCCAGAAATAAATTTGTTAAAGAAATCTCATACAACGTTATTGTGAAATTATCATACAACATACCTCGTTCTTGTCCACACTTTAAGTGCGTCATGTTCATAGGAGTCATTGCGCATCAGATGTGCAAATAAAAAAGTGCTTACCATTTAAACAAACAGACAAAACAAAACAAAAAAAATATATATTATATACATATATATATATATACATACAGTATATATATATATATATATATTTATAGTATTATATTTATATGAGTATATGTATATATGTATATATATATATATATATTCAATTACAAATGAATTAAATTTTTTTATTTAAAAATTCCCCCAAATCCTCCTTCCCAACAAAAATACTCTCCCCACTTGTTTATACACATACCACCTCTCCATTCCTGCACAAACCCTTCTTCCACATCTTCAACCCCCCACCCCAAGCACAAATCCCTCTGCCATTACAAATCCTCTCCCCATTTCAGGCACAAATCCTTTCCCTTCCCCATTCTCTCCAGTACAAATTCTCTCACCTTTCTAATACAAATCCATACTTCTCAATGGTCCTGGTTTTGGCTGGACCTTATCA